AAAAATTTGAGTTAAAGTAAACATGAAAATTAATAGCTTAATATTTTAAACTAAAAGAAAAATTAAAAGATTTAGCTAAGACACGTTGTTTCTTCTAGGTTATTTTATTATTTTCAACTCGATTTAATCATTTAATTATTAATTTTCACATTTACTTCAATTTGAATTTCTCTTCTTTACTTATTTATAAATTATACAAATGACAAATTCATTTTTGAAATTTAATAATGTTACTAGTACTAACATATACAAGTTAGGAAGCAAAAGAAGAAGAATCGTAAAAAAATTAATTAAAATATTAATATTTAAAAAAATATATGTATATAAATTGATGAAATTGCCTCTGGACCCAAAAGCAGGTGAAAAATAGCTTTCTGTCACAATTTAACTCCCACAATAACCAAGGGGAAACAACTTCTCTTAGCTGAAAGTTATTTTGAATGTTAAATCGTGACAGAAAACTATTTTTCACATGCTTTTGGGTCCAGAAGTAATTTCATAATTCTGTATTTTTCTTTAAATATATTAATATTTTAATTTCTTAAAACAATTCTTCTTCTTTTTTACTTCCTAACTTGTATATGTTGGTATTATAATAATTATTAAATTTCAAAAATTCATTTGTCATTTGTATTTTAACTTCTTGTTTATAAAAACATAAAGAAGAGAAATTCAAATTGAAGCAAACGTGAAAATTAATAATTAAATGAATAAATCGAGTTAAAAATATTAATTAACCTAGAAGAAACAACATGTCTTAGCTAATTTTTTAGTTTCTTTTTTGGTTTAAAACGATAAACTATTATTTTTTATGTTTATTTCAACTCGAATTCTTCTTCTTCATTTTTCTTTTTTTTAAAAAAAAAAAAAATTTATAATGTAGAAGTTAAATGCAAAATTTAAATTAATTTTTGAAATTTAGAAATTATACTACCAGCATATACAAGTTAGGAAGTATAAGAAGAAGAATTGTGAAAAAATAAAAATCATTTTTTTCAAAAAAATAAAAATTTGTAAATAACAAAATGACAAAAATACCCCTGAACCCAAAAGCATGTGGAAAATAGATTTTCGTCACTATTTAACGGCTAAAATTAATAGAATGATTTCAGATGAATTTTTTGCTTCGTAAGGTGACCTGTTATACAAATAAATTTCATTAATGACATCTATTAGAATTACCTAATAGTTCAATAACCCGTTTTGAGGTTCATCCAATTTTAAAATCTAGAAGTTAAAATACAAAATTAAAATGAATTTTTGAAATTTAGAATTATACTACCGGTATATACAAGTTAGGAAGTATAAGAGGAAGATTTGTTAAAAATAAAAAAAAAAATCAAAAAATATAAATTTAAAAATAACAAAATGATAAAATACTCCTAAACGCAAAAGCATGTGAAAAATAGATTTTCGTTACTATTTAACGGTCAAAATTAACAGAATGATCTCGGATGAATTTTTTGCTTAGTATGGTGACCTGTTATACAAATAAATTTGATTAATGATCTATATTAGAATTACCTAATAGTTCAATGACCGTTTTGAGGTTCGCTCAAAATGGGAGAGATCCATGGTGGATCCCGCTCCACACTAGTTGGACTCTTATTTTCTGGTTAGTGAATCTTATTTTTTTTTTTGAACTATTTTTGTTTTTTTGAGCAACATCTAGAGATTAGGAGGCTAGGAACAAAACATAGATAAAAAAAAATAAAAATCCTAGCTAAAATATATTCATAAACTATATAAGGTATAATTATGACTTTTTATATTCTCATTTGTCTTTTCACAAATTTTACATTTAGGATGTGACAAGTTTAATTAGATTTCTTCAAATTAATAACCAAAAAACCACACTACACACAAACATTTAATTTTTTTGTTAAATTGTAAATGGGAGTTTTAAAAAACTTACAAAATTACATCTGAAAGTAATAGTTGAACACGGTAACACATCTTTTGCAAATTAGTGTTGTAAACTACTTCTGGTCCTAAATTATAAAGTACAAAATAACACCAAACTTACATCAAATTTGTGTCTTGTATAATTAGGGAGGAGGGAGGAGTGCCAAGAATAATATTGCTGGTGAATTGTTGAATACTATGACCACGTTATTTTAGGTGGTGCCTGGTTCAAGCTAGGTATGATAGTTTGGAATGGGATTGATAAACTTTGAAATAAGATATATAGAATAGGAATGATTAATGGGTGTCAAAGCTCCAAATTATGTGCCCAGTTCACATTATATAGAAAATAAAATTAACATGAAATTCCAATTTAAACCTTGCTACCAACCCTATAACCACCACCACCGTTGCCTCCATTTCCCCCTCCCCCCCACCATATCATCGCTGCAACTGGACTACTGGAGAAACAAGGAAAAATTGGTCGATCTACCTAAAGGTTGACATGCGTTGTCAATTCTACCCTATTCTTTTTCAATTAGCCAATATTACCCTAAGCTATCCAACCGTTAGCCGATTTTGTCCAATTGGCCAATTTCCGTTTACATTAACGGAATTCTGTTAGTTTTAATTACAAAAAATATCCTAATAGTTTTGAAAATTATAAAAACGCCCCTAAAAATTTATAAAAATAACCAAATAGTCTTTTACACTTTTTATTTAATTTTTTCTATTATATGAATCTTTTAAAAAAACTATTTATTTTAAACACTACTGTGCAAATTTATAGATATGTATATTTGTAACTCATGGTTGATTTACATAAACATATTGATTTTTTAATAATATAACTTGACAATAATGATATTAGTTTTTTTTAATCCTTTTTTCAATTTAAAGAATAATATTTTTTGACTAAAAAATAATTTTTTACAAAAAAGTAAAACATTTAGCTTAGATTAAAAATTAATATATTAGTACATTTTAATTTATTGCAAATTGAATAAACAAACTATAGATTGTATTATCCAATTCAAAAAATTACTAAACTAAACTAAAATATAGTGTACAATCTAGTATTTAGGGTGTTGAGCTTCATGATAGTAGATATAAGATTAATTCTCACCAAAGAATTTTAACCAGGAGAGTGATTTTATCCATATTTATGCATGGTTTACTAAAGGTGAGAGGGTTGAGTTGGATGGTCAGGTGATTTAGGATGGAAGATGATTATTACTGTGTTCGAGGCCTCAATTCTTGTCTTTTTTTTTTTTTAAGGTGGAGTCCAGTACTAGAGCAGATTTTTTTTATTACTATTAAAAAAACATTTCCTGCTAAAGTTAGATGTTAATATCTCAAAAAAATTATCACGAAATGTTAAACTCTCGCAATGATAAATATACATATTTTTTTATAAAATATTATGTACCATTTTTTTTACTTTCTGTTTGTACTTGGCCTTTTAAAGAAATGTATATTTTAGTTTAATTATTTTTTTAATTTTAAAATACAATCTAAATTCTGTTGAATTATATTGTAATAATATATTAAAGTATACCCAAAAAAATTTAATCTATGCTAAATGTTTTATTTTTTGTGCAAAATTAGGTTTAGTTAAATAATCTTATTTTTTAGATTGAAAAAAATAGATTAAAAAAATAATATCATTACTGTTAAACCATATTATTAAAAAATTAATATATTTATGTAAATCAACCATGAGTTACGAATATGCATAACTATAAATTTTCACAATAGTGTTTTAAAAATAAATAGCTTTTTTTAAAAGATTATATAATATATTTTTATAGTTATGAGAAATAGTGAAAAGAAATAGAAAACAGAAAAAATTAAATAAAAAGTGAAAAAAGACTGTTTGGTTATTTTTACAAATTTTTAGGATCATTTTTATAATTTTTAAAACTATTAGGATATTTTTTGTAATTAAAACTAACGGAATTCCGTTAATTTAAACGGAAATTGGTAAATTAGACAAAATCGGCTAACGGTTGGATAGCTTAGGGTAATATTGGCTAATCGAAAAAGAATATGATGAAATTGACAACGTATGTCAACCTTTGAGTAGATCGGTCAATTTTTCCGGAGAAAAAATCAACCCAAAGATAAAAATCAACCTTCACCCAAATCTAAAAGGAGCCAAATTGAGAGGGGAGGGGGGAGGGAAAGATCAAACATCAAAGATATGCAACCCAAATTCAAATTTATTTCAATCGGCATAATTTAATTAAAAGTATTAAAGCTGAAAAACAAAGCCTATCATTTTAACTAAATTGGTGAAAAACTTCAACACGGCCATGGGTGCTATTTATGCGCCCCTTTTTTGCCATCGTTGACTAATTATGATTTTATTTTCTTAAAAAAATATTTAGCCACATACACCCATCCAAAAATAGAGTTTAGATTGGAGGGTGAGAAGTTACAGGGATGAAGATTTAAATGGGTTTCAAATTTCAGAGATGGGGTGATGAAAATTTGCAGGATTGAAGTTCAAATTAGAGAGAGAGGGGAATGTTCGAATCGGAAAGAATGGTGGAAGCCAGCGATGGTGGAAAGGGCAGAGTAGACAAGTAACTCCATATTTTTTCCAATCTATCGCACCCACCTAAATGATGGGAAATGAAAATTTTGGATTCAATTCAAATTTCGTGGCCCAACTCCATTCCCAATTCACCAACCAATCAAGAAAAATGGAATGAAAGTCACAAATTAGATATGACACCTTTCAACCAAGCACCTCCTTAGTTTTAACTTCTAACTTCTACCTAGGTAGATAGTTTTACAATTTCTCCCCAGTCCCCAATATAACTTTTTTTAAACTAGTGTACGATACTAGTACAATTGCTTTTTAGGCGGGCTGATGCAATTTCACTGAGCCCAGAGCCCATTACTTTCAACAGGCCCATCTTATAAACATATCAGAAGCCAACCACAAATTCCCGTCGACGATTCGTGCGAATTAGGGCAAAATCTGAGTCGTCCGCGTCCCCAAATCCCCAAAAACTCCATTGCTGCATGTAACAGTGTAGATTTTCTCCTCAATTTTTGGAATTTAATTTATTTTCTTGGACCAAAAAATGGGGAAGTTGGAAAAGAAGGGGAAGTCGGCGAGCCGGAGAGTTCAATCCAAAGGTGAAGAAGAGGAGAAGCCGAGGAAGAAAAAAACGGCACCGCCAGTTGAAGTTGTGGAGATTGACAGCGACGACGATGATGATAAGGAAGCCAATGAGGATCTCAGCTTGAGAATCGTCGAGAAAGCTATGTTGCGTAACTGCAGTAAGAAGGGTTCCAGTTCAATAACTGATGCTTCGAATTTCATCGTTTCCAAAGAGGATGATGATGATGATGAAGTTGTCATGAATTTTACTGATGATAGTAAGAGTAAGAAAAAAGAGATGAAGAAGAAAAAGAGGAAGAAACTCGAATCCCAGCTCGATTTTGTGAGTATTCACCGACCTTTTTTTTTTTTTTTTTTCTCTGGGATTTTTTGTGTTCGATTTTAAGAGTCTTTATAGTTTTGTGTTTAATTTTTGTTTTTCTTTTCTGATGGTATGCTGTTATCATGGCGGTAGGCGCTGAGTGAAAAAGATTCCAAGTTTGAGAATTTCTGCAGCGACATGTTTCTGGTATATTCCACCTTAGTTTAAAGTGATTGTTTAATTGATATGCAATAAAAATTGCTCTTCTTCTTCTTAATTATCACAAACATAACATGTTTACTTAATGTTGAAAATGTATGTCAGAACTTTGAATATACGAACGTTTAAATTGGGTTGGACGATGGATACATAAATTCGAGGTTCATGCCTTTGGTGCATAAAGTATCTTATGTTTACTTGTGTTAAACCTGTTTAATAAGCCTGTACTGTGATTTATTTTGCTATGGGACCAAAATTTGTTCATGAAGATTGGTAGTTGGTAGCTTCCTTTAACTGTGAACTTCGACTGCTTTAGGTTGATGCTGCAAAAAAGGAGGAGAATGTTGACAGTGAGAAAACCGCACAGGTAGTCAATGAGGCTGTTAAATCAAATCCTGATGAGGCTGTTAAAACAAATTCTGATGAGGCTTTGAAATCAAATCCTGTTGAAGATTCTGATAATTCTGTGCTCCGAAAGCTTCTTGTGAGTTTATGTAACTTTCTCGTCTCACTCATAGTAGGAACCTTCTGTTTACAAGGAACTTTGGCAAGTATCATTTTCATACCTTATTATGATGTCAGCGGGGCCCTAGATATTTTGATCCTCCCGATAGCAGCTGGGGTACTTGCTATAATTGTGGTGAAGAAGGTCATATGGCTGTCAATTGTACATCAGCTAAGCGTCAGAAGCCTTGTTTTGTTTGTGGGAGCCTGGAACATCTTGGGAAGCAATGCACAAAGGTAAAGAATTTGCGTTCCTGATGAGATTTTCTGTCTTTGTTTACCTGTTTACTGTATGTACGATGAGTTGGAGTGTTTCTAGAAGGTTTATTGTTTCTCTTGTCTCAAATTCACTTGGATAGTAAAACATCGTAGCTGTAATTTGAAAGTTTTTCTTTCTTGAAAACAAGTATCATAGAATATGGGGAATCATGTTTCTGCTGAAGCTCTCTCTACTTGGGTGTTTGTTTCTCCCTGTTGGACATTTGTAAATTGTATCTCTTTGATAACTTCTGCTTCTTAAAATCTTCCCTTAGTCGAATGTATTAATATTATCTTACAGGTGTTGTAACCTTTTTGATAATGGCTATTTGCATCACATATTCACATGGTTATATACTTTTCTGATGTATGCTGCCTCTGTCTTCCCCTGTATATTTCTTTTTGAGGTTCTTGTGTAGAAAATGTTATTTGTTGATTTATGTTTCTTGAAATATCAGTCCGTGTAACATTAGTTGGACTTTCGAGGACAGTTATATATTTCCTTTTGTTGATGTGGGTTTGTTTGATTGAATTCTATACAGGGGCATGCATGTTATATCTGCCGAAAAGAAGGCCATCGTGCAAAAGATTGTCCAGAGCGGAGCAATAGGGGAGCTCAAAATTCAAATATATGTTTAAGATGTGGTGATTCTGGCCATGACATGTTCTCATGTACCAATGATTATTCTTCTGATGACTTGAAGGTTGTTTGGCATCCCTTCCCTTCGTATGTTTAATTTTAACGCGTGGTAGATGCTATGCTAAAAACTGCTTAATACTGGCTTAGATTCATTCATTATGTTGCGATTGTTTGCGGTGGCTTACACATTGCACATTATTTGTTTTACAGGAAATAGAGTGTTATGTTTGTGGGAGTAGTGGCCACCTATGCTGTGTAAACTATTCCGACTCCGTTCTGAGAGCGATTACATGTTACAGATGTGGTCTTTCGGGTCATACTGGTTTGGTAAGTTTTATCAGATGTTATTCTGTCCAGCAATGATGGAGCTGTAAACCTACTGAAATTTTACATATCCTGGTACATATGCTCAAGATAATATTTGTCAGTGTAGTCTTTTCTTTTTGTTCGCAAAAGATAATGAGTTGATTTCCTTCTTCTCTTATAAGAGATTGAGTGATGTCTATCTCTTTTTTGACATTGACAGAGATTGTTCACATTTATCACTACTTCATACTTTTTTTCTCTTGCAATGTTTGGCGGGGAAGGTTTCTTAGGTTGTTCTTTTTCATATGCTGCAGTTCTGCTCAGGCTCACGGAAAGAGAATTCTAACATGGGATCAGCCCAGGCATGCTACAAATGTGGTGGTGAAGGACATTTTTCACGTGAATGCGTCAGTTCAAGCCAGGTTTGTTTCTATTATGTTGCATGTTCTCAATATGCTTGGGGGTATATGGTGGAAAGAATTTTGATTTATCATTGTCCTCTTTAATTGATAGCCCACTTGTAAGAGCGATCTTTTTTTTTTTGGTACTGAGGAAGCTTGCATGTAATGAGTTATCTGTCAATGACTCAGCGCTATAGATGACAGCCCTCTCGTCTACAAATTTTTAATTTTTTCGGTTTTAGCAGGGTGGTAAGAGGAAGAAGGAAAAACACAAAAAAGAGGTGGGATCTGCGCCTCACGATCTTGGTAAGGAACGCAAGAAGAAGAAAGCAAAAGTAGAGAAAGCATTCTCTTCTGCTTCTAAAACGAAAAGCAAGTATGGTTGGAGCACGGAACACCCTGGAGACTATACCAACAATAATGGGACCATTCCTTGGAGATCTCCTGCAGCACCTAAAAGATTTAAAACACCTGATTATAATGCTCCTAATCATCACGCATCAACTTCATATTCACCCTGGCGACATCATACACCGCACCACTACAACAGTCCATCTCCAAATGGAACGCCCATGTTCAATCAGCAGCCGAGGTATGGATCGTGGAACCCTCACTATTCAGCTTCACACAGTCCAGGCACCCATCATGGTAATAGATTTGCGCCAAATTCAGGTTATTCGGCTTATAATGGATCACCTCAATTTTATCCGAACCGATTCGAATCCAATTTTGACAATAGTAGTAACTTTGTGCGGAGAAGAAATAACCATTGGTGACACCATGAAGTTTCTCAAGGGTTTTTTTTTCTTTTCTGTAAACACCCCCTCTTAAAAAAAAAAAAAAGATAAGGTAAAAAGAAAATGGGCGGCTTGGATTAATTATGGCTGTTGTAGCTTTTGATTGTGGGATTGTTATAGGCTTGTAGCTCTGGTTTTAGGGGATGTAGTGGATGTGTTCATACATGTCGTAGCTCTCACTTGGGAGATAATTATTGAAAAAGGAAAGTAATGTAATCGATGTTTTTCCGTTGGGTTTATTTAGTTGGTAGATTAAAAATTTATTTACCTGTCATGGTTTTTCTCTTGAAAGTTTAATAGTTTAATAACAATTAATTTACATTTTTTATTAGTTTGTTTTGTTTTTTCTATCTTCTTCTATATAATTTTTAGGTTTTGGAGTACATTTCTGTATTCCAACATTACGAGAGATTTGTAGTTTTGTTAGCCAAATTATTTGTGTTTGAGCTCTATTGTTAGAAAAAGTATATTACCGGCTTGATTATTGTTCAATTTGAAATTTCAGTTTTAGTATAATTTGAACTAAAAGTAATATTCAAATTGGACAATAATTTTGGGACGGAGTGAGTATTACTTTTGTTTAAAAAGGCATTCATTTTGAGATTTATGTTATTTTCAAAGGTGACATGGTATGGCTTAGATTACAATCAATAAACAAATTCTACATCGTTGAAATATTGAAATCTACATTTTAGATTACTTCTCCGTCCTCACGTGAGCGCAAAAACTTGGAATACACTGTTTATTTATACTCTTGTCAAAGAATATAGAATCCTCGCGTAGTAGAGTTTACCAAACAATTAAAAACTAGTACGGATCATCTGCAAGTTTTAGATTAGAGTAAAAGAAATTAGAGCTTACCAAACAATTGTAAAATAGAACTGATCACCTGCAAGTTTTAGATCAGAGTAAGAAATTAAAGAAGAGACTTCCAACAAGTTTTATATTTTATCCTTTCTTGCAGTTGTATATGAAAACTTGTTAATATTTTCATAATTTGTTACCTGGTTGTATATCAAAGATGAAACTTGTTAATATTTTCATAATTTGTTACCTGGTTGTATATCAAAGATGAAGAAAATACAATGTAAATAAAAAATATTAAAATTTGAAAATGGTCATTTACATTTGACAAAATTGACATTTTTATCATCTACATTAACATTTGGCTAAAATTGTCCCGTAGCCAATAACTCTTTTCTTTTTTTTGGTGCTATTTATCCACTTTGACTAGATTTCAGATCAAGCCAATAGGGATATTTTCGGAATAATATTTTTTCCGTTTTTGCAAAGATATATATATAAAGAAAAGGTTAGAATTGCAAAATTAAAACAAATAGTGAAATAGGGTTCAAAGTCTTTTTTAAAGTTGAAAAATTCTTTCGAGGTAAATTCAATAAAATCTGCTGATTGCCAAATTTCCTTTCAACATTTAAAACCCAAGTGACCATTCTGCAATCAGTCGAGAACAGGGGCGTTTTACTACACAATACCTTCCAAAATTAGTCTGATTCTTCTCCTTCCTCCTTACTACGGCACGAAACACACAGTGCCGCCGTCGACCCTTTTTGCCGCATACTTTTAAATGTTAAAAAAAAATCCCAATCTTTTCTTTCCAACGATCTTCAGCAACAATTGTTAGTGACTATCCAAAGTGCATTCCATAGAAACACACCCATTTTAACCTAAAAAAAAGTCTTTTTTTGCAGCTCTGGGTGTGCCCGGGCGTATACACTGGATCCGTCTGCTTCCTACATTTGGTAAGAAATTGGCTTCGCTGAGACTGACTGTGTGTTGATTTAGTAATTTGGAAAAAAAATTCTACTAATGGGGCGTCCTGTTTTGGTAACATGCTGTAAATTGCTTTGTTTGAGATTCTAACAAATGTTGCATTTGCTCCGCTGGTTGCGATATTTCTTTCAATGATTGGTAACTCTTATCTGTCTTTTAGTGATTTTGTGATTCAAGTCTAATCTCTTGCTTATTATATTTTCTTTATTTTTTTTTTTTTTTTGTGAAACCGTGAATCTAATGTTCTGAGAATGAGCAAGGATAAATTTTAGTGCTATATAGTTACATTATTTATAGGAGGAAGAGTTCTTCTACCTTTTTTCTTTTCTGAGCATCATTTCTTTTTCTGTTTCCCTTAGATGAGATGTCTTGCAAATGAGACCTTGGAGAGATGTTGCCATGGCAATTCATAAGCACGGTAGTGAATTATTGCCGGAAAGAAGAGGAGCCGTTGGCTGGCTTGATAAATCACAAGGTCAAGGTGGCTTTAGTTTGCGAAATTTCCGTAAAGGGCGTAGGTTTGGTTGCACTTCCGGACAAAGATTTTTGGTTTGGGCATTTTCCATTGCTCTGCTCTTTTGCATTTGTCTCGCAGTCTTTGGCTTCAACATGTTGCATGGTAAGAGTGAGAAAATTGTTTTACGTGTTCTTTTGAACGTTGACTCTATCACACAAATGCCGCGAGTATTCAATTTAATTAAGTGTATGCAACTTTGTGTCACTTGCCAAATTCGTTGGCTTGTTGAATTAATTAGTTTGATGGACTTTTTCATATTTGATGAATTACGTTTAACTGTAACAACAATTCTTACTTTGTTAATGCAGTGAGCTTTGAAACTGGGCTCCTATCGACAACAAAGGATATTTCTTCACTGCAAGATGTCTTTGGAATAGCTAATGGTACATTTTTTGATGATCAAGTCATGAAGCCACCACCAAGACGACCACGTCGACAACGTAAGGGATTTTCAGAAGAATTTTTCTTTCTTTTATTTCGTACTATATGTTCTCCTTTTTTGGAAACAGTAAAGTTCATCCCAGAGTTCAGTTTGAATATGTGAACCCTAGGGTCTTTCTCAAACTGCCTGGCCATCGTATCATTAAGATGCAAAAGCATTATAGATCAATCTTGGCACCTCCCGCATTAGTCGTGATATTATTTGAACCTTTATGCTCTTTAGTTCCCTGTAAGCATTTCTGCTCTTAGTAGTTGCTTCCTTTGACTTTTCAGGGTTTTCTGCTTGTGACGTCTCATTCTCAAATTCGGTTAACTATTTTCTGGAGCCCAAGGACTCACTGAATGTTACTGATTTCTCCCTGCAATATGTTGAAAGAGAGGAGAGACAGTCATATCATGATTTCTTTGATCTCAGATTTGGAGGTCATCAAACCCTCAAAGAGAGAGAGGCAGCCTTCCATGTAAGAAACCACACTATCCATTGTGGTTTTGTCAAGGGAACCAAAGGAGTTCAAAGCAGTGGATTTGATTTGGATGAGAAGGACAAGAAATTCATGAGTAGCTGTAGTGTTGCTGTTTCATCATGCATATTTGGAAACTCCGATTTTTTGAGGAGACCAGCCAGCAAATTGGTGACTTTTTTATCTGATAATTAAAAGGATTCAGATTTGCAATTTTGCACAATTCAGTATGCTATTTGGTTCTTTTTCATCCTAATCGTGGCTTTGATTCTCATTCTTTTAATTGTTGCAGATGAGTGAATACTCAAAGAGCAAAGTATGCTTTGTCATGTTTGTTGACGGTCAAACTTTATCCAAACTCGCCGAAGAAGGACATGTTCCAGATGACAAAGGTTACATTGGTTTGTGGAAAATAGTCGTCGTCAAAAACTTACCATATAAGGATATGAGAAAAACTGGGAAGGTGCCAAAATTCTTATCGCATCGACTTTTCCCTTCTTCAAGGTGCATCTATTTATGTGTATTGCTCTCTTGACTGTTACTTATTTTGGTGAGTCTGAACTATCATTTACGTTTCTTTTCTTGCAATGTTCAGATACTCTATATGGCTTGATAGTAAGTTGCGGCTTGTTGTTGATCCTATGCTGATTATTGAGCACTTTTTGTGGCGATCTGGGTCAGAATATGCAATTTCCAATCATTATACTCGACATTGTGTTTGGGAGGAGGTAATTCAAAATAAGCGTCTGAACAAGTACAATCATACAGCAATTGATGAGCAGTTCCAGTTATATCAGTCTGATGGTCTAGTCAAGTTTGACCGATCAGATCCCAACATCCCTCTTCCAAGCTGTGCGTTCCTGTACCTTTTTCTTATGCATCCTTTTTCCTCTAGCTCCTTGTTAAGCTACTTTCTTAAAGGCTGATATCAGAATCTTGATCTCGTGTATTTTGCAGATGTACCTGAAGGTTCTTTCATTGTTAGAGCCCATACACCAATGTCGAATTTATTTTCATGCCTGTGGTTTAATGAAGTTGACCGCTTCACATCCCGGGATCAACTGAGCTTTGCATATACATTTCTGAAACTTAAAAGAGCAAATCCAGATAAACCTTTCCACCTATATATGTTTAAGGTGAGATACTTCTTTAATTATATTCCTTCATATATATATTTAGGGGTTTTGGATTTGCCGGTCAAGCCTACTGTTGTATCCGATCATCCAGAAAATGTCTTCCCTTTTATTGCAAAAGTAGGAGCAGTTTTGGTGAACTTAGTCAGATTACTTTGTACTTTTTCTACTTTGTTCAAGAATGGTAGTGAATCTAACAGTTTTTGCTTCTATACAGGATTGTGAGCGCAGAGCATTGGCAAAATTGTTTCATCATAAAGAACTGTCACCTCCTGCAATCCCTTGAGACATTGGATTTCTTCAGTCCTCTTGTGCTTAGGTATACTGATTTCATAATGTTAAATAGTATCCTATTTTTTCCCCCCTCAAAATAGCTCGTCAATTTATTTACTTTTTTCTTGATCGTCAGGAATGGCATGAATGTGCTCCATCCACCTAAGAGATACTCATTTAACCATTTCTGGCAATGGTATTGTGGATGCTAATGGCCACAGATTAGGCCTGATGTTTCCCCCATGGCGTTCACGACCAATCTGCCTGAGCCTATTCTTTCTACATGGTAATCAGCTGTATTCTTTACTCATCCACACATCATAAAAAAGCGTCTTTTCCTCAGTGGTTTGATCCTCATTTCTGCAGGTGGTTTGTCTTGCGAAGAAATGTTCGAATGGTTTCGGCTACCTGTCAAAATCCCTGATAACATTGTTTGTAAAATCACAATAGTCTGCAATCTTCCAGCTCGACTTGGTAATAACAGAATCACATTTTCTTTTCTGGAAGGTTTCAGTAGTAGATTCTTTTGTGTTGATGGATATGTCTAGTATAGTACTTAAGTAGAAAACCTTGTTGGGGATTACAAATATACAGCCATTTAGCTGGCCATTTTTAGCTGGCATTCATTTATTTGCACTAACTAGTTCGTCTTTCATGAAATGAAATGTTCATTCCAAACTCGTTATTTCAACAAACGTTTGAATACGTTGCTTTATAGCCTTATTATGCCAAATGTGATACGGAATTACGGATGATCGGAACGTATTAGTAGTAACAAATACATGGTGATAACCGTTTGTAATCAGCAATGAGTATAAATAACATCAATGATATCAAAGTGAAATAAAAGCCATTAGCCTGATACACCTTTAACCTTCTGTACCAGAAAGCTCGAAACCAAGAAAAAGAAACGCTAAAGGCGTGATTGTGATACAAGCCAAATAGACCACGCCATCATATGGACCTAAACATTCCTATGAAATGCCCCTCGGAAATAAGTCTCTTTCAGTCCAAGTTCCAACTTCCAACTACCTAATGGAGGCCTGCACTCTGTTCAGAGCTCTGAATCCCATGAGGATCACTCATTCTCTCCGTTGTTCTTCCTCAATTTTGCCCACAATGAAATATCGCGCAGGTTTTTTTGTTTTTCTGTTTTTTTTGAATTCCCATTCGGTTCAAATGTTAATCCCTTTTCAGAATCCGTTATAATCAAGGGAAATAAAAATCCAATCTTTTGTGGGAATAGATTGGATGTATCGATGAATTAGGACCGTATTCTAATCGGAGTTAGCTAATGTTGCACTTTGCTCAATTTGTATCACTATTTTGTGACTCTTTTGGGGTGATTGATTTTGTTAGGAAGTGGAAATCTGGTGAAGAAAGCGTATGATGCGTTGTTATTGGATGCGGGAGGTACACTTTTACAGCTCAATAAGCCAGTTGAAGATACCTATGCTGAAATTGGCCGAAAATATGGTCAGTTTTGAAATACTTTTCCAACTTGAACTGTTTGATGATTTGGAACTGAAACATGTCATGTGAAAAACCAATGTGAACTCCGGTTATTCTGGCGGTTGATCACTGTGAATTAAGTTGGTTAAAACTTACAAATGATGTCAACTTTGTCACCTTTTGGGTTGTGGAATTAAATGGGTGCCTTGTTCAATTATTCTAGTTGGGTGGTGGCGATTGAGAAATAGAGGAAAACCACAGACTTTCCGGTAAATGTGCTTGCTTTATGTGTACAGGTCTTCAAGCCACTTCGGCTGAAATAAAGAAGGGTTTCAAAAGGGCCTTTTCAGCTCCATGGTCTGAGAAACTTCGTTACCAGGTTTGCAAATTTATCCTTAAGAGATTCGAAACCTCTTAGTTCTGTAGCTGGTTGTGTGTGGAGAAGAACAACTATAACTTTACTTTCTCCTAGCATGTCATCTGAATCTTGAACAGCTGTTGTCACGAAGGAATCTGGTGTTAAAAGAGGTGGGTGGTTTGACTGTATAGGGTGGGACTAAGATTACCCTGAGAATGTTTAAAGTGGCTGTGAACAGTTTTACTCTTGTAGCATCTCTTATAGTTATTCCTTGCAAGTTGTCCATGCTATTTAAAATAGAGTGTGAAAGATCTCCAAGATTCCAATGTTAAGGCATACACAAGTTTGTGGTGCTGCTTTTCACTGTTCACAAAAGTCATTTTATAGCCACCAAAGATTTTGTAGAAATTGAGTATTTTCACAAGGGGTCTTAAGTTCTGTAGAACTAGAAGAATTTCACGCTGTGAGGGTGTCTCTGATAATTAATCTAACATGTCATAAGAAATTGTTGCCGTAGGCCTTAAGGTTTGCCTCCACCAGCCTGATTGTCTCTGTAGCATGATATTAAATGTATGGACTCTATTTATGGAATTTATCAATCAATCATTGATGTATGGGCGTTGATCAAATTTTTGAGTCAAGCTAAGTTGATACTGGCACGTGCTCATAATGGTGAATGTTCTTTGCATCATTCCCTTTCTGCAATATAGGCAAACTTTTATCAAAGAGTAGAGTATCCCTCACTATATGTTTTTGGCCTATACCTCTTTCATGAGTTATGAGTGTAAATATGACTGATTAATTAATCTTATCTTGGAAACACTTTTCCGGTGAAATGAAAACTGTAATTTTCATTGAAAAATTCATATGACCTAACCTGCATGACCATGATTTTTTCCTCATTTTTTTATGCTAGTGTATTCTGCAATATGACAGGGTGATGGAAAGCCATTTTGGAAACTTGTTGTTTCAGAGGCAACTGGCTGTGATAATGTTGATTATTTTGAGGAAGTTTATGAGGTAATAGAAATTCATTTTATAATATTTTTAGCTATAGTTATTGAATATTTAGTTCATTCCTCCAAATCTTATACAAACAGTAACAGACTTGTTTAAATCTTGTTACCAGTACTATGCCCATGGTAATGTGTGGCATCTTCCTGTAGGAGCTCAAGAAACAATATCTGTTTTGAAAGATTCTGGAGGTCATCAAGTACTCTCTTTGTCTCTACTATGATTACTTGGTTAGATAATAGTCTCTGTCCTTTCAATTTTCAATTTCTGAAGCACGAGATCTGAAACAGTGAAACTGGCTGTGGTATCCAACTTTGACACTCGATTGAGGAAGCTTTTGAAAGATCTGAATGTATTAGATCTGTAAGTGCCCACATTCAATTTTGACTATAGTATCTTGTTTTTAAGTATTCCTTATTTATATCACGGTAGTGTTTCTAATTTCATCGAGTAGAGTAAGAATAGATTTTTCTCTTCCCAGGAACAAGAATATGTATCCTTTGACAGGTTTAGTTCAGAATTGCATATTGTCTTCATAATGTTTGAGGGCCAGGTCTTTAGATGCTTCTGAACCTCCTTTACAGGGAAAGTAAATGATATTAAGATTCGCAGAACAGGGGTTTTGTATCATTTAATCTGCAGGGTCTATTGCAAGTTTGTTGGATGAAGAATATACAACTTGCAGTACTTGATGCGTTTCCTTTTACTTCTGTCTCTGGATCAGATTCGATGCTGTCGTCATATCTTCAGAGGTTGGGCATGAAAAACCGGATCCCAAAATATTCACTGCTGCTTTGGGTATGTGTTTAAAATCGTCTGCTACACATATGATGACTCTGAAATCGTAATGGACATTGCTATAATCTTGTTATGGGACTGCATGTCAGGCCTTCTTCAAATGTCATAGGTTTGAAGTGTTAATAACTGATTGTTGTATTCATTTTTTGACATGTTTTATAGATATGCTCTCCGTGGAAGCTACAAGAGCCGTTCATGTTGGAGACGATCTTAAGGCTGATAAAGAAGGAGCCAACACAGTTGGCATAGACTGTTGGTTAGTGAACGTTTTACTGTTTCTTCTTTTCCTATTCAATGAGAATCATGTTCACTATGACCCTGGAAATGAAAAGATAGCTGATGGTGTGTGACAGTTTTGATTTCAAATATATGACTGCTCTTTAGCTGATGCCCATATAACATTTCTGTCTAAACAGGTTATGGAGCAAAGATGTGAAGACATTTTTAGATATTCAAAGGCGAATCCTTGTTACGGAGCCTTAAGTTTGAGGGTTTAAAGTGAAGGTACCATTTCCATGTGTAAAACATAAACAAAGAAGGCGAAGAAGATCATCATCTCAGGTTCCTCTTCTAGTGACATTTTCCTCCTTTCTGCTTCTGAAGGTGGGAGATTTGGGAAACTTGGCAAGTACTTGTTTAATATAGGTCTGCATGTATTACATTTGCCAATAGAAACAAGTTTCGCGCCCTGCAAGAAACTAGCTTAGCCGATATACTTTTGACAAACATAATTGTAACCTTTTCCCCAGAATGTTTAACGTGTGAAGGTAATGAAAAGTTAAGGTTGTCATGTGTTTTGGAGTTATGAAAGCCAAAATGTCTGCACACTACTCTAATGATTGTACAAGACAGTTGTGGCAGAAAGGAAATCAGCAAACGGAAAGTACAGTGTTAGAGATTTGCATAAAGCCATAAACCACATTCAGACTAGCAAAATATAACGCAAGTGCAAAGCTTCTTAACAGATTCGACAAAAGCAAATCGATTGGAGACTGTTAACGAATTCCAGAATTGCGATCTCATCACACGTAAGACATACATAAACATCATGCTGGAAAATTCAGCTGTGTTCGAGGAGTAAACCTTCAGAAGTTAAGTGAAAGAAAGGAGATCCCTGTGTACACGCCCCCACCAAAAAAAAAGAAAAAGAGACAACAATTCTTCCAACAGAGTAAGAGAGAATGGCTTCGCAGCAACCTAGATGATGGAGATCACAAATGGAGGACGAAGTTTGGTGTAACAAGCTGGCTCATATGGAATTGGCGAAATGATAGTCTTCAACGATGGACAAATCTCGACAGAAAGAGCAGTGAGGACAGCTTGCCATCAAACTGAAGAAATCCTTAGAAGCAGAGAGAAGATTAAATGGCAGCGAGGTGGGCAGCGACGAGAGCTAGACCCTAACTGGCAGAAACCACCTTTGGCTTGGGTCAAGGCCAACTGCGATGGAGCAGCCTGTAGCTTCACGTTAAAGGCAGGGGCAGGTTTTGTAATTAGAGATGAAGCAGGCAGGTTAAAAAATGCAGAAATGCAGGTTGTATACCTCTCGGGTTTTGCTCCATAGAAACAGCAGAAATGAAGGCCATCCTTTTAGCCTTGAGAACTGCAAAAAACCAATGAGTCCCAAAACTCATTGTGGAATCCGATTCTCTGATGGCTCTAGACTTTGCTCAGAGTGTGATTGATAGCCCTGTTGTTCCCCTAGACCCAGACTTGAGAGAAATCCAGGGCCTTTTGAAATTGAATTGGGAAGTTTGCTTCGCACACACCTCCCGGGATAACAATCTTTGTGCAGATGCGTTAGCAAAAGCGGCGCTGAATATAGATATAGGGCCATATTTTTTTGATATCGCCCCCGGATGTATATCGATATTACTAGAGAACGATGCTAGTGGATGAATATGTTGTAATGGCTGAGGCGGCTGCCAAAGCTCGTAACTGTGTACCCAAAAATAAAAAATAAAAAAAAAATGAGCTCCCTGTCTACCAAAATAACTCTATTCGAAATTGCAAGCATTGCTTCCATCTTCAAGCTTGAGCTGTAATGGAATTAAAACACTGAATTTTATTTACTACATATATACCATTACATACTTTGAGTTGCTTAATCCAAAAGAGTGAATAGAGAATCCACTTACTTGTGATCAAGAAATTAGATCTGACATCTCTTATGTGCTTGAATACGAGTTGTTGATAAAAATCTTGAGCCCCTCAATTTCTTCCTCCTCAATCCTTCTTACAGATTCTTCCAGTGATATTCCGCATTGTTGAACTTCAATTTTCACCAAGGTGGAGATGCTGACAAAGTCAAAAGGGATCTCCTCAAGCTGCTCGCATTTTCGCACAATGAGCTGTTGAAGCCGGGGTAGATGCTCACTGATGGCCTCCCAATGGACAATGTTTAGCGTGTCCAATTTCAAGTACTTGAGGTTAAGAAACTCTCCTTCTTCCATGGTCCAACTTGAACCTTCAAATGCTTCAGAAACCAATTTAAGGACCTCCAGATGATGTAATCTCCCAATCACTGAGATGTGGCTCCAAGGCAAGCGAAAGTTTGATAACGTCAACTTCTTTATACTGGAAGGAAACTTCAACTCGCCAGCATTCAGAACCTTGCCATAGTATGATATATTCAGTGACTCCAACTTGCATTGCGACTCGAATGCAGGGAATGAAGAAAATCCCTCATAAATATCTCTTGGTTTTAGAACTATGCACCTAAGTTTCTGAAGATTGGGAAACCTCATTTTCAGGCCATCTATTACCTCCCAGCATGTAAAACACAGAAGAGAAAGTGATACCAAGCTAGGAAGCGATCCCATGGTAGGTATTTCATCTTCGGTCCACCCCCAATCGAATGTAGCACATTTACTTATGCATAAATGCCTCAGCTTCTGCATGTTCCATATGGTCTCTGGCAACTTGACATTACTCTTCAGACTCTTCACTATTAAACTTTCCAGGTGCTCTAGGTTGGATAAAGATGATGGGATAGAATCTATATCACCACAAACAGCTAAATATCTCAAATCAACAAGATGTTCCATTCCAAATTCAAGGTACTCACCCATATTAATGGATTCCAAATCCAACACCCTAAGACGTCTGTAGTTGGTAGGAATGAAGGAGACATTATAGGGGCATCTTGGGTACTGATCGGGGGTGGCAAAGAATAGTAGAGATCGGACAGATGGACCGGAAGGCCTTGATACCACAAAATGTTTTCTATTCACATAGAAGCTAAGTCGATAGTCCATGTAAGTTCTCTCATTTGAAGTAATGAAGAGCTCAAGTGGAAGATCACAGCTCAAACCATTGAAAGAAGAATAAGGTTCATCATCAGCTGATACCGACTGCAAAAAATTGTCCTCTTTAGCTCGTACAATGCACAAATCGCGCATTACATCATGAACTCGGCATGCTTTCACCTTACCATTTGATTTTCTTTTCGCCACCATGACTAGGCTCCTGCCTATTAGGTCCATTAAATAATCCTCTGCAAGATCCTCAGAGCTTTTACATTCCAGTTTATGTACAAATCCTTCCGCGATCCATAGCCACTGCAACCTCCAAACTGGAATGTCCTTGTCCTTCGGAAATGCTCCAAAGTAAAGCAAGCAAGCTTTCAAATGATCAGGTAAATGATTGTAACTGAGCTCTAGTATTTTCTTGCATTGAGTTTCTGGATCATTTACCACCCGCGAGCTTACACTGTCAGCAATTCGATTCCACATGTCTTTGCTCTCTCCGCAAGTCCTATGAAGAAGGCCTGCTATTGCACCAATGGCAAGAGGCAGGCCTTTACAATTCCTTGCAATTTGCTTACCAACTTCCAACAGCTCATGAGGACACTCTTTTTCCTGAAAAATCTTTAATTTTAACAATTCCCAGCTTTCTTCCGGAGAGAGAGGACGGAGAGGATGTGGATCACTAATTTCTGAAACAACATTGCTCAGACGGCTTGTTATCAACATTCTGCTACCATTTGAGTCATCTGGAAATGACGGCCGCAAATCATCCCATGCCCCCTTACTCCACATGTCGTCCATGACAACGAGGTACCTTTTCCCTTTCAACTGTTTGTACAAGAGTTCTTCTATATCTTCATCACACATTGCATTCGTCTCATCTGTGATGGCAATCATGTGTCTCAAGATATCAAGCAACAAGTCTCTCTTTTTATATTTTGGAGATATATAACTCCAAGCACGAACATGGAAGTGGAGCATAATGGTTTGGTTGCAAAACACATTCTTAGCCAGGGTGGTCTTTCCGATTCCTGGCATTCCAACAATTGAGACGACATCTCGCTGCTGCGTACCTCTAGTGAGTCGATCAACTGTCTCATCTTTCTGATCATTGAGTCCAACCATAACTTCATCAATTGTTGTGGTGACAACCTGTGACAAAACATGCATAATCTCCGGGGGAAAATCGTTGCCTCCTTCACCGCAAGTGCTGTTCCAATCAGATTCTGCGAGTTGCGTCTTGATATGTTGAACTTCTTCCAGCAGATCATCCAGCCATAGAAAATTCTGCCACCCATGCTCATTCTCAATTTCTAATTCTAGCCATGAAAAACTTTGCCACCCTTGCTTATTTTCCCTTAACATTGAGCTGACGGCATGTTCTATTTCATATGCCACATTTACAAACCGACTAACAATATCCTCCTGTTTCCCGGTCCCCTGAGTCAGTACATCCTTGATTGTAGGCATTATGAAATCCAAATTCGTGCAAATGGCAACAATGTGATGAGTTGCATATGCTATGGAATCATGATTACAGTTAAGCAGATCTCTCAAATTTCGAGAGAGAAATTCAATGAAGCACAAACCAGGTATCTTGGGGACAGGATAGTTTGGAATGTAGTAGAATCCTCTGAGTTTTACCTTCAAATGCTGAACCTTTTCCAGCAAATCAAGAAGCTGAGTGTCCACATCCTCGACTCTTTCTTCTGTGACTGTGAGGTTGTCATGAACAAGAAATATGGTAAAGATAGAGTTTACTGTGCGAGCTGCGATCTCAATATCTTCCAAGATTGGCTTCTCATCCTCAATATTCACCTTTATCATACTTTCCAGTAGATCTATCAAGAAAAGGAGTACACTGCGAAGAGTTGCAAATGTGTGATTCAGGGGGACCCTGAAACTTGCGTCCTCCTCCAACAAATCCAACAAAAGCGCATTTGACCTTATTAGAATCATGTGTAAGACAGACTTGGAAATGAAAATGCCGACCTTGACATGCACCAAGTAGATGTACTCCTCATCAGGAAAAGAATGACACAGAGATTCAACATGATCAGGAACTCCCTCAATGATCTTCAACATCAGAGATTCTTCTTCTCCCATGTCGCGAAAAACCTTCTCCAAAAATTGACATCCTTCGCGTAGGTCCTTGACATGGTTGTACTTGTACATAGAGAATTCAAGGAAGGCACCATTACTTTCAATGAAGATCTTAGCCTTAAGAGACCAAATCTTAGCTAAAGTAATCGCAAAGTGAGTTTTACTTGCTCTTCTCCCTTTAGATTTCAGAGGTTTGGCCTCCATAACCACATCTTTGATACCATCTACTAGAATCTTATGCACATTCTGCAACATGTCCTGTTGGTGCATCTTTGGAATTTTGATGAGACAAATAAAAAGGGACATGAATTCATTGCGAAGAAGTTCAAAATCATCTTGGACACCACATATATAATCCACAAAAGAGAAAACAAATCTTTCCTGATCATCATACAGTCCAAAGGATCCCAAAATAATGTCTAGGAACTCTGGAGTTGGAGGATCCATTTCATGGTGCAGATTCCCTATGCGCTCACACATATCTGTTAACATAATCCATCTGATGGACTCAAACAGCAAAGGCAATAACAATGAGCAACATGAAGAAGCATACCTATGAACTGATGAGCCATCACATTCTCCTTCCAAGGCGGCCAACGTGGATAATTGTTAGTATTACCACTATTACTCCTACTTGTAGTGAGAAGCCAATCCAGTGAATCCAGAATCCGCCTCAAGGTTTTAAACAGGGAATCGATTTCAGAGCTTTGATACTTGAAACATGTCAGATTTTTCTCCAGCAAGAAACGGAAAAGCTTCCAGTCATAATCAACTTCTGTTTCAGACCAGTTAGGCTGAAGGTGGAACGATAAGCGGGACAAAGAGAATCCCTGGTAAACATACCTCGCCCGTGACTGCACAGAAGCAATGGAATCTCTCAAAGGGATGAGAACCCGAAGCAATTTGGACCTCTTAGATCGAAAGGGATGCCTAACACTTCTTCCCAAGTTGACCAACTTAGCAATCAACTTCTGCTGAGGATCCTCACTGAATCTGTCAAACAAAGGATGCTGAAAAAATCTATCTAATTCTTCTCCTATTGCTGAAACTTCGATCAACAGGGAATCCATCTCGTCACCATCAAGGTGTGACATTGGCGATGATGGACGTGAAGATGGTGGTGCTGCTGATGGTGCAAGACTCCATAGGCCAAAGTAACCGAAAAATATAGACAGAAACCTCAGCTCCATTATCACATCTTCCATGACATTCTTTGTAAATGAATCTAAAGACCAGCTAGCTTCTCGCCGGAGTATAAAGTCTTCGGCCTCGTCGACCAAACGAGCAAGGTCAACCCACTCTAACTCTTCAGACATTTTTAGCCAAAAAGGAAACAAAGAGAATAAACTGAAGCAAGGTCAACAACGCACATTAAGCTCGGCCTATTTATAAAGCTTGTTATATTTTTTAATCATACTCCATAAATAAACAAAAAAGTAGGGAAGAATAGTGTAGTACTATTTCATAAGAGTATACTCATAGCCCCATGCACGACTTTCGAAGTCAAAGTTCATCTTTCAGACAAGAGCAAGCTATTTACCACCTTTATTTTCTCATTTGAGCGCGCTCCAAAATACGGATATGCCCTCTGCACAATAAAGATATTTTTTTTTTTCAAAAAAAGGGGAAGAGGCGAGGGACATATGCGCCAGCCGCTGGCGCAGGAGGAACACGCCACCCCTTTGCGGGGTGGCGTGGAATAATCTCGCCTCCCTGACTTTCGCCTTTGGCGAAGGTGGTGGCGCCAGTTTTGGCACCACCTTTGTCCGGGTTGACAAGCAAACGCTCGCCAACCAACCAATGGGTGGCGCCACCCCTTTTTTTAAATTTAATTATTTATTTTACTTTTTAATATATTTAATTAATATTATTTATTTATTTAAATTATTAGTTTAATAAATTTATTTAATTCATGTATTTATTTAATTAATTAATTTATTTTATTTGAGTATTTGTTTGATAGTTTACTATTTGTTTAGAAAATTTATGTTAATTGGTAATTAAATGGATAATCTATCTTAATATTTAGGGTTTATGATATTGGTAAATAAATAATATTTAATTTAAATATTTAGAGAATTTTTTTAATTACGTATTTTGTTCATAGGTTATAGTTGTTATATTAAATAAGTTAATTTTTGGTTAATTATGTGTTTAGTTTGTTATATGTTTAAATTATGTTACTTACGTAGTATGTTCGTATGAAATAGTTTTTTTCTTGTTAAATGGGTGTTTAGTTTGTTGTTAGTTTAGAAAGAATTGGTTAATTAGGTGGTATGTTCATGGGTTTAGGGTTTAGGTTTTAGGGTTCAGGGTTTAGGGTTATAGTTTTTATATTAAAATGGTGAATTTTTGTTAATAATGTATTTAGTTTGTAATTAGTATATATTACGTTAATTAATTATCTTTAAAGTAAAACATCATTATATCGGATTTTATATTTTGGTATTGTTTATAATGAATTATTTGAGATTTAATATTATTATAGTTAATTTAAGTTATGATATAATTCATTTTTAATGTGTGCAGGATAGGTTTGGTCAGGGGGATGGACATGATTATAGTTCGGCTTTTGCTACAGACGAGACTTTTGGCACGAAGCCTGAAGCTATTGTTGTGGCGAAAAGGGTATAAACACAACAAACCAGCGGAAACGATTCCCAAGAAAAACTCCTCTCCTACTACCAATAAAATAGGACAACCAACCAAACAAGCAAATAATTCAAGAACTGATAAAGTAAAGTAGACACACGAATTTATGTAGAAACCCAAATCGGGAAAAATCACGGGACTGTAACAACAGTCAAATCTCCATTATCACAATAATGGAAAACAATCTTCACCAATCGGTGGTACACAGGACTTCCAAAGGTGGATTACAACAATACTCTTCCACACATACCTGAACCACAAAGTAGGATTGGAAGGATTTTACCAAAAGAGAGCTAAACCGAAAACTAAACCCTAGCTTTCTTTCTTTTTCTCTCGCACAAAACCCTTGCGCGGCTGCCCTAATTTTCCTTCTCTCTCGGCTGAAAAATATGCACAAATTGTGTACAAAACCTTGCTTTTATAGGCATCAAAAACAAAACCCAAAACCCAATAGAAGTGGGTTTTCTTTTCTCGGTCAAACACCCCAAAACCAAAGCCTAGTTAGGCTTGGTATTATTTTTCCTTGTTGTTGCTGGCCCAATTGAGGGGAACGACCAGCCCAACAATCTCCCCCTTCACCTCAATTGAGCCGAGGGAGGGGGGAGGGGGTAAAACCAAACCGGCTTCCTGTCTGTAAAACAGGAGCTTGTCTCTACTCACAGTCTTCGTCAACTTATCGGCACCGTTGTCATCCGTATAGATCTTCTCAAGAAACAACGTCTCGACTCTAGCACATTCTGAATCCAATGATATCTCACATCAATATGTTTAGACCGCGAATAGAATATGGAATTTTTTGTAAGTGAATAGCGCTCTGGCTATCACAATACACCACATACCTCTCTTGCTTCATGCCAAGCTCTTGTAGAAACTTCTGCAACCAAAGTGCTTCCTTACAAGATTCAGTAACTACGATAAACTCTGCCTCTGTAGTAGACAAAGCAACATACTTTTGCAACATACTCTGCCATGAAACTGCTCCCCCTCCATAAGTCATCAAGTATCCAGAAGTAGACTTCCGACCATCAAGGTCACCTGCCATGTCAGCATCTGTATATCCATCCAACATGGTCTTCCCATTGCCAAAGCAAAGACTCAATCTGGAAGTACCCCTAAAATACCTGAGAATCCATTTCACAGCATTCCAATGCTACTTACCAGGATTGGAGAGAAACCGACTAACAATACCAACTGCATGAGCTATGTCTGGCCTTGTGCAAACCATCGCATAAATCAGGCTGCCAACTGCCGAAGCATAAGGAACCTTTTTCATCTCTTCATTATCTTTCTCACTTTTAGGACACTGCATTTTGCTTAGCTTAAAATACCCCGCAAGTGGAGTCCAGACTTCCTTAGCACCGCTCATGTTAAACCTATCAAGAACCTTCTCGATATACTTCTCTTGAGATACCCAAACCTTCCCATTCTGTTTGTCACGAGAAATTTTCATCCCAAGGATCTGTCTAGCCGGACCCAAATCCTTCATCGCAAAGGACTTATTCAACTCTTTTTTCAACCTGGAAATCTTTGCAGTATCATGACCAACAATCAACATGTCATCGACATAAAGCAAAAGAATTACAAAATCACCATCAGAGAATTTCTTCACAAACACACAGTGATCGGCTGTAGTCCTTTGGTATCCCTGCCCTATCATGAAAGCATCAAACTTCTTGTACCACTGCCTCGGAGCTTGCTTCAACCCATACAAGCTTTTGTTGAGACGAGATACCGGCTTTTCTTTCCCCTCCTCCTGAAACCCATCTAGTTGCTCCATGTAAATCTCTTCTTCCAAATCACCATGCAAGAAAGTTGTCTTCACATCAAGCTGTTCAATCTCAAGATTCAAGCTGGCTGCTATCCCAAGCACAACTCGGATCGAAGACATCTTTACAACAGGAGAGAATATCTCATCAAAGTCTACGCTCTTTCTCTGATTGAATTCCTTCACAACCAATCTAGCTTTGTACCTCGGTTGTGAGCTGTTCTCACTTGTTTTCAGTCTGAACACTCATTTATTCTTGAGTTCTCTCTTGCCCTTAGGCAGCTTCACAGGTCATATGTATTATTCTCATGCAAGAATTTGATCTCATCTTGCATGGCTGCTAACCACTGATCTTTCTGCTCATGACTAAGAACCTCTTCATACGATTCTGGTTCTCCCCTGTTAGTAAGCAACAAATATTCATGAACACTATACCTGGTGGAAGGTTTCTTGTCTGTGGTGGACCTCCTTGGGTGGACAGGAGGTGATGAAACCGGTGGTGTCTCTGTTTCAGAGGTAGGATCATCATCAAACTCACCATTCTGCTCTATCTCAGCTCCCCCTTCAGGAGAATCATCTGATTGTGGAGGAACTGGATCTAGATCAACAGGAATCTCAGGTGAAGATTCTGGCATCTCGCCCTTTCCCATATCATCAATGGTCTTGTCTTCAAAGAATATCACATCTCTGCTCCAGAAAACTTTCTTCTCTACAGGATCTCAAAGTGTGTACCCAAAATCATCATTGCCATACCCCAAGAATATACACTGCTTGGATTTTCCATCAAGCTTCGACCTTTTGTCTTTGAGAATATGAACAAAGGCACGACAACCAAAAACTCGCAAATGTCCGAATGAGACATCTTTCCCTATCCAAACTCGTTGTGGTAGATCACCATCCATCGGAACTGAGGGAGATAGGTTGATCAAATAAACTGCTGTCTGCATGGCTTCACCCCAAAAATATTTAGACAGCTTTGCATTCAAGAGCATACACCTAACCTTTTCGGTAATAGTTCTGTTCATTCTTTCTGACACGGCATTATGTTACGGAGTCTTCGAACACTTTTCTGAAGTTTAATACCATGGTCTTGGCAATACTTCTCAAACGGACTCCTGTACTCACTACCATTATCTGCTCGAACACACTTCAACTTTTTGCCAGCCTCTCGTTCAACTCTAAGATGAAAGTATTTGAACACATCTAATACCTGATCTTTAGATTTCAAAGAAAAACACCAAACCTTTCGAGCATAGTCATCAATGAAAGTAACAAAGTACAATGCTCCACTCAACGACCTATCTTTCATGTAACATACATCTGTATGAACTAACTCTAGAGGACTGGACTTTCTAGATAGAGGAGAATTTTGAAAGGAAACCCTATGTTATTTACCATAGATATAGTCAACACAAGGTTCTAGAGCAGTACCTTTCACCTCAGGGGGAAGTTGCTTCTTACCAACAATCTGGAGCCCCTTGACACTAATATGTCCAAGCCTTTTGTGCCAGAGATCAATGGAGGCATTGTGAGTTGCATTCACCTCTCCATTCTTCAACTTTGCATTCAACCCATACAAAGAGTTCAACTTCTTTCCTAAAGTAATAACAAGATTCCCTCTGATAATTGTCCAACGGCCACCACCTTCAGTGCTATGATAACCCTCATCATCAAGTTTTCCAACGAAAATAAGGTTCAGACGCATATCCGGAACATGTCTAACATTCTTCAAGACAAGAGTACAACCTGTATTCGTTACCAATGACACCTCTCCCATGCCGACAACATCGCATGAGGCTTGATTGTCCATTCTTACACGACCAAAATCTCCAGATGTGTAAGAGGTAAAGAAGTGTCTGTGAGGCGTTACATGATAAGGCGCACCTGAATCACCGATCCAATCACGGTCGTGACTCGCAACATTAA